ACTTTATGCAAAAAATTGCGCTGAAGAAATTGTTCAAAAGGATGACGAAAGCTGCGCAACTAAACCAACCAGCTCAGAGAACACTACTAATTGCATAATAGTAAATACTTATACCTTTGGCCAAGTTAGAGAATGAAATTCAGGGACGTGAACACACCAGTGACTTTGAAAACATACCACTTGTTGGATAATGAGATCTACGATTATTGCAGCGCTACTCTGAAATCCGAACACAGTACAGATTTTATTCTGATCTCGTTTTTAAATACTGTTTGGATAATTAGTTGATAGCTAGTTAGGGTTACGATTAAGGTTAGCATTAATGTTAGGATCATATTTAGAATTAGAGTAAAGGTAAGGGTTAAGATTTAGATTAGCATTAGGGTCAGTATTAGATTTGCAGTTATGGTTGGGATAATAATTGTTACGTGTACTTTTCTAGAGTCAATAAATGGCATTTTTGTGTTTAAGAAAAAACACTGTCCATTTTGATTGGTCGCCTCAAGGTCACTTGAGCGTTCGAACTGCTTTGATTGGTTATTATTCAACTTACCCACCCACACCGTCTACCAGTTATGGAACAGGAGAATAGCAGTTTTCACAGTAAAAAAAATTGCCCAATAAAAAGTCACATTCTTTAAGGTAGACAAATAAGATTCATGAATATGCTTTTGACATTCCAAAGAACCATTACAGACAGATATGGTATTCATAATATCAACAAAAAAATAGATGAAAAGTTTTGTATTTTAAACAGGAACGAAGACCAGTCTTATAAATGAGAAAAAGTGAACATTTTCAAGGAAATACAACAGTTATTTAATTCAGTTTAGATTTTTTCGTAGATTGATTGGATCGAAGTGCTCGTTCTTAGCTTGAAATGTTGGCTCCTTGTGTAGATGCTTCGACGATATGTGCCAAGTCATATAACTTGACGTCAGTTAGTTAATGGTGACTAGCAGTGGAATCCAGGACAATGCGTATTTCGTCCTATTTGGGGCTCGTCATGTGGATCTGCCTGAGTTTCCCTGAGACCGAACCCTTTGGTTCAGTCTGTCGACGGGAAAGTTTAAATTGAATTAGATATATTTATAAGACCTGTTTTACAAGAGGCAGTGGCATTCGTGGCCCAAACGATCTAGTGGATAGCGCTCTAGTGTTTGAGTCTTCGGGCAGAGGGTTCCACCTTGCTGGTAACATCATCACTCACTAGGGAGTGCAGAGGCATCTGGCTGATGAGTCCCAAATAGGAGGGAAAACTCACCCTGGATTCCATTGCTAGTCACCATCAACCAATTGACTTCAGAATACAGCTATGACTGAAAAAGGTAATGTTGCTTTAAGCAGGATGAAAGGCAGTATCTAACTCATGGAATTCAACCCATAAGTCACCTATTTCCACGTACGACAGAAAGAGAGAGAGATCAAGAAACCGATAATTTCAACCTTCAAGCTTACAAGCTTCCAGATATAAAAAATATCAAAACGAATATTGAATAATTGTGACTTCTTCAGAAAGCTGAACTGAAGTGAAACTTCAGAGCGCAAAAGTGTAGTAGTTCAGGTTACCACAATTCATAATAGCACGTATAAAGATGGAAGTAAGAGGGAAAGTACAGGAGGAACAAGACAGATGGAGTAAAATGGGAATCTAATTGATTTCGAGATCAAGAAAGTTAATACACCTGTGTTGGGGAAAACAAGATTGATTTATGTCACCAATACTCCTTCGATATTGGTTCTTAACATCTTGAGGACCCCGGAAAGACAGACAGGCAGAAGACCTTATTAACTGACAGCATGTTTCGATATGACAACTCCTGACTTGCACTGCTTGTCAAGGTGGGCAATATGTCAACATGAGTAATACGTATCCTAGCTATCTCAATCGATGCAGACTAACAGCCTCAAAGACTGACTTTTCCTGCTTACCTAACATTACAACCAACCTCACTATTTTTTTCCTTCACGTTCCCGGTGGAACACAGGGCTTCAAGCTAGTAGCTTTTAGTTTCTATAGCAGTGTTTATTTTGACAGGATGGGGTTGCTAGCCTTATGCCCAACCTTTCCTCTTTACCAGCATTTTTTCTGGCTTAGCGAGGTAAAGGAGTGCGTCGGTTGAAGATCAAACCCCGGACCCTGTACATCGTCGGCGAGTGCCCTAACCACTGTGCCACCGACGCACAACCTCACTATTAATCACCAAAAAATACCAACTGACATCAGAAGCTGAGAATAGAACCTATGGACAAAATGGCCAACGTTTTTGTATATCTCCTGTTTTCAACACTTACGAAACACAGCCGTAAAAAAAGGACGGTTAGAAATACTGCGTTGCCCATACTTCCTTTGATGGTTTTGCGGATATCAACCCTTTGCCAAAGATGATTTTTAAATGCCCCCATGTTAGACAGACCCATTTTATCTGAGCTGAGATTCCACTAGCAATTAGTCCTTTCAAACTGATGAAACCCACAAATAAGCCCTAATTATTTATTCCTTTATTTTTCCAGTGGAACATAAGTCCGAAAGGTAGGGCTTAGAAGTTTCAGGGACATCGGTGTTTCTTACGAGATTGGCTTGCTAGCTTCACACTTGATCTATTTTTTAATGGGCTTACTAACGCCTAAGTTAGGCTAAGCAGTGAGTTGGCTGAAGATTGAATCCCGGACCACTTGCATGGCTAGTGAGCGCTCTGTCAATGAATCACCAATGCGCTGGTCTGACTAGACAGATATTAAACGTCCAAGTGCATTCATAAGAAAGTGGAACGAACAACATGATAAACCATTTGACCTCTACTCCTTAAACTTGGAGCTAGTTTAGAATCGAATATCAAATAATATAATAATTTCAAGATTGATTACGAACTAACTTCGCTCAGAGAACCACTGAAGACCAGAAAGCAGTGGACAGCTGTTTCATCCTTCTTCAAAACTCTTCATTTGTACACACTTAAAACTCCGCTGCGAATCCTACCCAGTGACTCTCAAATTACATGACTAGCTCTGACCATCCAACAAATCAGGTTTAATCTAATCCAACAGTACAAATTTCTGCTTATAGTAGTAGTCAAAATAATCAGTCTTCCTATGTCTTAGTGACTTTTAAAAGAATATTTCGTCTGACTTTCTATATTAGGAAGTTAAGGCACTTAGGCATAACCCAACCATTCTTTCTCTTACAGTTTGTCAACTAGTGCATCTTACCTGTTTTTCTTTACTGTTCACCCCTCTTATTCTTTCCTGGATTGCTTGAAAAAGACTATGTCATATACTTCGTAGAACTCTGAAAACTGACTGTCAGTAGGGCGAGTGGTATCCCATTGGGCCATATCGTTGACACTGTCATTGATAGGCACGTGATGTCATGCAACAAATTTCTGAAGGAATCTTGTCAAAATCTGAGCACCCACACTATCCGCAGCTCCAACCTTGTGTCTCCTCAGGTAAAACAATAAGTCTTTTCAGAAGAATTTATGCACGTACGTCTATGTATAAACATTCCACTATACCATATTTGGTCACACGTACTTTATATGATGAAAGTGTGTTAGGCATGAACTAACTAACCTTCTTTGCATTATTAAATAAACCATTTCCTCCACCCTTACACCATCAAACTTTATTGTTATTGTACTTCTTATATTTATAATCCTCTCAATTTTTTGTTTTTATTTGTTTATTTTTTCATACGTGTGAGCATCATTTAAGCTGTGCTATAACTGTTAATTTTGTATTTCCCCTCACCGTACTACATCAACAGAACATCAGATTCAATCCTCTATAACGTGCTAAAATTTCCTAATTGAATCGACAATACTGTTTGAAACAAACTCACTGTTATTATTATTATATTTAATATTCTCATTTCATGCTTCGGATATTTTTGACTTTATATCGTAAATGTGGACAAAATCCTCTGGTTACTTTTGTTTTCATTTTTACTTTTACTTATATTTCGAGTAAATCAGATGGAATATTGTGACAAATGCTGAGAATTCCATTCTGTACCATAAGTACTGTTTTTGGAATAAAGCAGATTATGATTACTATTTTTATTATATTTTGCCAACATCCTCACCCTCAAAAGGGACTATATCACATATATCCTTGAGAACCTTGACAAGTCTGTCTCTGTCTGTCTGGATTCAACATAGAACTTGGCACCGAAGTGCAGAAGTTCGAGTTGCCACGTTCCAAATAGCACACAGAGGTAGACAAGAAGATGAGTGAAGAGAATCAATACAGTCTGACAAGTATAAGAGTGAAACAGAATGGTTAATGGTAGAAAGGAATATGAAAGATTACAGAGACTGAATACATCTGTGCCACTGACAACGATTTTGAGCCATGTCACCTATTGTCTCCAGCCATTGATTCTAGAGTCCCGAGGGCCCCAACCTTGACAAGACCTCGAACAATACACTAACTAACAATCAGGAGGGTAACGACAACTTAGTAATTTAAATCAACGTACTCAAAAATGTCTTCAAGTCAGCATAGAGAAGACGGAGGTAATAAAGATAACCAATTAGCGACGATAACTACAAGCACCAATCACCACTATCAAGGGAGATATTTTGGAAGAGGTCACTTCATTCATTCATCTAGGCAGAATCCTTTCAACTACACGCATTTATCACGGACGTGGTTGATAAAACCAGAATCCGAAAGGCAAGACAGACCGTCATCATTTGAATTCAGTTCGGAAAACGTCTGCATTCCACAGCAAAAATAGAAAAATTTGGATTTCAAAACCGATGTCAAGTCAGAAACTTAGTGCCAGAGTCACAAAAATCATTTACAACACGTCACTAGCGACTTTTGTTGACAGCTTCCCATTTCTCTGGCTCCGTACGTATGGTGAGATGGCCGGCGAGAATGAATTAGCAGCAAGGAGCAAAGAATTTTCTTCCCGATAATTTCTTCTTCCGGATCTACAGTTATACATGTTCATATACACAGAATATTCTAAAATAATCATCATTAACAATACTAGTGCTTTTCAAATAATATCATTTTTAAAGTAAGATCACTGTGGAATTACCACAGTTGGAGAAAGACGCTTGAGTTATAATAAGCATAAAAATGTAATAGTCAATAGATTATCAAATAAAATGAAGGAAATTTCCACAACAAATTATTGATCATTAAAACATTTTTGAACAGCGGGGTAAAGACGGTGTCTGAACCAGCTTCTTTTGGATACATAAGCTAGGTTCCTTAATGTGGATCCCAACAGCCACCACCCACAGCAACATATAATAGCCGAACTCTTAAGGTAAAACTAAGCTCACTTGGTATACAGCAGGTGACGTTTAAGGACTTCTTTACATCAGTTTTGTGTTCCGTATCTTCTACGAGATGAGACAGCATACAACTATGAATGGATTTTGTTTCTCCTTTACTTAACCACTGTGCAGAATGGTGTTCGGAAACACGCCTATGTAAATGGTTCACTCCACAGGAGCTGTCAGATCGATAAATGTGCATAGATGAGACGAAATCAGACAGTTTATCTTTTTAAAATCAGACATACACTGAGAAAACTGTTGGGTGACAATACACTCAACGAGGAAAGTGAATCGAAAACGAGAAGTTGAGCGTCTGCCTGACAGTGACATAGAGGAGAACATCTGAGGAGGACGAGATGAGAAACTATGGACAGTCAGTGGAGCAGCTACAGAAGGACTGCAAAAAATAGCACAATTTAGGAACCTAAGAGAACAATATTAATAATAATGGCCAATGAGTAAAACTCAACACGATTAACTGTATACTTTAGTGATTGATTTAAAATATCATATATATGCATATGTATATTATAAAGTTACTCAAAAAACCACAAGAATAACACTCATGATGATAATCAACTCAACTCACTAAAGAAAATATATGAAACCAGGTAAAATAAAATAAAAATAAATTATCAATAATTGAATCAAACAAATTAAAGCAAAAATAAAGAAAAAAACATAACAAATTATTATTATTATCATTATTATAATTTGCTTTAGGGACCAGTGAGATGAAAGAAAAAACAAAACAAATAAAGGCGAGCAATATTCCAGATTAGAAATTGTCTAAAGAAAGCATAAAAAATATGAAAAAGAGTTTTTGTTTACAAAAAGAAAAAACACTATTTATTATGTGTGTGTGCGTGTGCGTATCCTCCATCATCAGTAAACAGTAACCATGACGACGTAGACGACAACAACAACAACGGCAACACATCAGGAGAAGAGAACACCCTAACACTGATGTGATCATGCTTTTGCTCAAAAATAAAGCGAGAACCAGGGAAATCATTATATCATAATAATGACACCAACAACTGAAGGGTAGTCAATCAACACTGGTGAAGCATAGAAATTAATCAAGCAGAAATAAAGGGTATAGAAATACTACTACTAGTAATAATAATAACAATATTAATAGTAGTTTATGCAATGGAAAGGTAACGAAAATACACTCATACAGTCTACTCAACACGTCAATAAGAGTAGAAGTAGTAGTATTACAAATATCGAAAAATTTGGAATAATTCAATAAGCATAATCATGCCGAAAAACCAACCAACCAGCCAGCCAGTCAACCAAGCAAGCAAGCAAGCAACAAAACAGTAGTCTTAATTCATAGAAAAACTTAGGAAAATTATATTCAAGAAATTATATGGCGAGAGAGATGATAAAGGTTAATTACAGATAGATCCAGTGTGTGTGTGTGTATGTGTGAGTCAGATAACAGTGAACAACAGTCATGATAAGAACTCGGTGGAAACAACCAACATATCCCTCAGCCCACCTCCTGCTCCCCCACCCCCCAAAAAAAACACCCTACACATCCACACACACACACACACATGCAGAGTCAAGTTTGAGTGAATCATTTAGTCAGATAGTTAATTAGTCAGTCAAGGGGTGAGTCTGTGCAAAATGTGTACTGTTAATTATTACAAGAGTAAGGATATAGTCAGATGCTATATATGTATATGCATATATATGTATATAGGCAATAAGTGGCAATAGATTCAATTGTCACATTGTTTGAAAGTATGAAATAAAGCCGTTCCTTATGGAGCAACAATAATAGTAATAGCGATTATTGTTGTTGTTATTATTATTATTAAGAATATGAGTGACTAAGTATGCAAAACTGGAAGGAAATCAAAAAAATAATGAAAACAAACAAACGAAAACTGAGATCAATGCATAAAATACAATATAATATGTATATATCTGTATACTTATGTATATATTATGAATCAGGATTCATAGTCACTCCCGCCGCAGTCGATGGATCCAATTGGTCACTTGGTTTATCTGCTTCATAGGTTTTCAAACGTAAACGTGCAAAATCTTCAAAGATTAAATCATCATCATCTTCATCACCGATTGTATGACCTTTTCCATTTGTCTGATAACGTGATCTAGTTGTAGAATAAGAAAATGTTTGGGTAAATATCATGAGAAGCACATATATATGTAAATATTTAGTTAGTAATAATGAGGTGAGTGTTTAGTGTCACGTGCTGCGCATGCCTAACCATCGCCTCCCCACCGACGGGCATTACTAGCTGATATAAATGCAGGTTGGAAAAGGGTAAGTGGTGGCCAAACAAAAACATGGCCTCATCGATCCATGAAATCCTTGACAGTTAAACTGAGTCAGTCAGGTAGGGAGATGCAGACATCCAGGTTGGGGCTCTCGGGACTGACTCCAAGAATCAATGGCTGGAGACAATAGGTGACATGGCTCAAAATCGTTGTCAATGGCTGGCGCAGATGTATTCAGTCTCTGTAATCTTTCATATTCCTTTCTACCATTAACCATTCTGTTTCACTCTTATACTTGTCAGACTGTATTGATTCTCTTCACTCATCGTCTTGTCTACCTCTGTGTGCTATTTGGAACGTGGCAACTCGAACTTCTGCACTTCGGTGCCAAGTTCTATGTTGAATCCAGACAGACAGATAACGTTTTGTACTTTTTATCGAATGAGACGGTTGGGACATGTGCTAAGAATGTCTTGCCTTCCTCGTCGGCTGATGTTAGAGGAGATGGCATTTGATTGAATTTTATATTTTCCCATCTATTGATTGAACCGAAGTGCTCGGTGTCAGGTTGACATGTCTGTTGGCTTCTTGTGCAGGTGCTTTCGGCGACATCTGGGCATTTAATTAGAATTTAATTGGTGGATTGTGACCAGCAGCGGAATCCAGGACAGAGCGGATTTTGTCCTGTTTGGGACTCGTCAGGCGGATATACCTGCATTTCCCAGTGAGTGATGATGTACCCACCAAGGCTCGAACCCATTGGATAACGCTTTAGCGTTTGAAACTATGGGCATTGGGTTCCAGCCTTGGTGGGAACGCCATCACTCACTGGGAAATGCAGGTATATCCACCTGACGAGTCCTAAATAGGACGAAGTGTGCATCCTGGATTCCACTGCTAGTCACCCATCCACCAATTAGTGATGGCATTTGATTTGGAAAAGAAACACATAGATATGGTCAAATTAGAAAAAATGACATTCCATCAATCCATGAAGTCATTGACTGTCGGTTCAAGTCATCTAGAGAAATGTGTTGACTGTCTTCTCTGTGGGGTATATCGAGATGTTAAGAATGTGTGGCTAGGAACAGTTAGTGATATTGTGACGAATGCTACTGATAAGATTTATTAGTAGTATATGTGTAAACAGAGGTTCATCGGCTTAGAAATGTCAAATAGCCGGGAGATACATTTGATTTCACAGAAGGCAAATGATACAGCGTTGCGGAGATATAGGACAGACGTGAGAGGACAACAAAGAAACACAACATGAAGTCCAGAAGTACTGCAACACAAAGACTTGTGCAAATGGTGCGTTGAAGAAACATACATAATTTGGTTATAAAGAGATACAAATCTCTAATTTTTCCGTTTATTCTACTTTGATTTCGTCTCCAGTTCAGGTGTAGAATACAAGTGTTTCACACACTAGAATCGGGATTAAAGCCCAGCTGACGCACACCTACACCTTGGTAAGCTGGTAGTGGTTCTATGCAGATATGTGTAACGATAGAAGACATGGGTCAGGCAACAGATCGTGTATTGAGAAAATCAACAGATATTTATAGATTTTAATGTACATTATTATAGGTTATTGTTAGCAGAGAAATAACGTCGTCTGATTGAATGTTTCCTCACTTAAAGTTATTCTGTCATCTCTTTGCTGCCGTTTCTCTGAAGGTCATATTATGTATCTGAGAATTGTATTCACTCACACTAAGTCTGCTGTGATTGGTTAATGGGCTAGTCTTTTTTCTTGCCTATTTTCTCATAACGAAGATTTGAGACGTATACATTGACGTAAAGTGCCGTTCACCAATTTCGGCTAGCAGACAGCTCTCACTACAATATATTAATTCAGTCTCTATCATATCGTCACAACAGATTTTCCGAATCCTTGAGCATAAGGGACGTACTAGTGTGGTGAGAACTGGCTTCTAGCCAAATCGGTGGACAGTAATTTACGTCAATGTTTATGTCCCCAATATTGGTCGTGAGAAAAATAAGAAGAAAGACTGCGTAGGCGGATATAGTTAGCATATAAATGATCTGAAATTCGAGAAACAGCCACAAAGATATGAAAGATTAACTTTCAGCGACAAAAAACAACCAATCAGAAGACTGTGTTTTTCTGCTAACAATAATCTATAATAATGTACATGAAAAGCTATAAATATGTGTTGATTTCCTTAATAAACGATCTGTTGCCTGGCCCTTGTCTTTAGTGGTGTTACACTAGGTATGCACTTTATATTGATTGATCTTTGGATCGAGTTATTGTGTCGTTTATGGCCTACAAATCCAATTTCGACTGATATAATTTTGCTTTGCAAGGGTTTTCTTCTGTATACCAGTAAAGTCGTCGAAAACCCTTGTTAAAGAAGCCACCTACTCTCCTTGCATTGACCCTCATCAAATGAATGTATAAAAATCGTATAGTCTACTCCTCTGTACCCTTTAACCAACATCACAGCTAAGTTTTGGAAATCAAACTTATTTAGCTCATTAGTATATATGACCTGTTTGATATGGTACATAGATGTCAGTATCGCTGTCAAAATGAAGAAGTTCAACCTTCGAAAGTGAACTGAATTCATCAGAGAGAAAGAGAGAGAGAGAAATGAGAGAATTCAATCAGTTTGATTGATTGCCAACAATGTGACTGATAGTAAAAAGAATTTTTTAATTATTGCCAATATAAATCACCGATAGCCAAATAAAATTATCGATGTTTTTTGCATATAATCTATCAGGTGTTGTTTAGTGTGGGTCATTAATATATAAGAGTGTTACGCAAAACACGTGGTTAAATCTTTCATCCTTGTGATGCCATATCGATCAGTGAAGTGATAATAATAATGATCACATGAACAATACACGCACATATATTTCTTCTTAGATTAGTATTTTCCTGAGACGATTTGTGGATATATATATATATATATATATTTACAAATAGTTATATAAGGCTTATATATATTCTTTTAAAAATGCACTTTTACCAGAAGGCTTTCAGTTATTCAACTCCTTGTAATCTCCAGGAGTTCTGTTCAGTGCGATCTGTATATGTCAGGAAATTATTATTATTTAATGCCCACGCAGTCCTAAACCTCAAACAATAGTAATGCCCGCTGAAGAGGGAAGGTTGATCGCGAGACTAGTAACCTCACCATGTAAAAATTAAACCCTCGTAAGTGAGTTGGTGGCACACATGTGGTGTGGGGTTCGATCCCCAGCCACAGACACACTCCTCCTTTACTTCGCTAAGTCAGTAATAGGACTGGTAAAGAGGGAAGGTTGTGCATGAGGCTAGCAGCTCCATGCTGTAAAAAAATAATCATCACTGCTACAGAAACTTCAAGTCTCTAGCTTGAAGCCTTCGCTATATTCCACTCAGAAATGGAAGCAATAAAAAGATAGAAAAAACTCTACAGTGCTGACTGACTGACTTACTAATGAATTGAAATAAGACTTCACACAGAAGTAGATGTCGATTCAATTCAATTCAAGCATACTACTTTACTAAGGGACTCATACTTGAGATAGTTAAGGCCTACAAAACTAGATGCATTATTTGAGCCTGGCCTGAAATATTCATTTTTTCGTTAGACTAATCCCTAAGTCGATAAAGATTAATCACACCAACGAATGGCAGTATTTGCTCAACATGTGTAACTAATGTCCTAACCATCTCAATCTAAGAAAAAAACCACAGGAGTTTTGAGGTCGACATACCGTTTCGCAATTTAACACTGTGTGTAAAACAGTGAGCCTATCCATTTAGATGCTATTTCGAAAGATAAGCCTTGGCATCACATTGGTACTGATATGTGTCAAACGAGCTGCCAAAAATAAAAGTGAAATCGCCTACATATTCAACCATGTCTTTACCTTCAGGGCAGTACAGCAGATTACGGTATGCAAATCATACGTTTGTTATAAAGGATGAGGTAAACAACATAATCCGACTTAAGCGTGACCATGGAGTTCAAGTATAACCGCTTAAGGATAATCACACGACCTTTATGAACTGGTTCTCCGGAATTTTCTCTTTATGAAGACTTTTTGACACAGTAGGACGTCAATGGCACAGAGGTTAGGAATCTTGCCAATTATGCGCATAGCCCAGGGTTCGATCCCCTGCTGATGCACACACCTGAAATCAGTGGTCGGTCTGCAAAATTTGAGTTATCAATATCACATGCTGAAAATTCCATACTTGTACCAAAAAAGGGCGTGGAATTAAGCTTCAATCAAAAATAAAATAAAACAGCATTCGTTCCAATCCGTGTAACACTTTGTTTCATGTGGATACGCAAGAGCGAGGATCTTACCAAAGTGACAGTTACAAGCCAGAAAATATGCGCCACACAAACACTGGTTGGATCAAAAACCATTTTCACACTGACATAATTGCCCACGGATTGATGTCGGCCTCTTAGAGAACCTTTGGGAACCAGCACTACAGTAATCGACAGCTCTTCCCCTCCAGCTTCACACTCTCTCGTAGTATGCATCTGATGAGGTTCAAATCCAGAATCTTCCGCAGACCAAGCTCATTCACTAAAACCCATCCCAATTGCCCACGAATTCGTGATTTTAGAGCAACCAACAGCCAATATCATCTGCAAGCATTTGTCCTCACTCCCGGCATGGTAGAGCTCACTGGTCATGACTTTTCACTAGAACTCTAGGGCAACCTTGTCCTGAAACAAATCACTGGCAATTATCAGATCCAACTAATAAGCGTAACAATTGTCCTAATATTAAATACATCATTATAATATTATTGTTCCCTTGGGTTCCTAGTGGAACATAGGGCTCCAACTGCACGTCTCCACTTGCTTCTGTCTTCTGCTCTACTTTTCACTTG